GGCAGGAAAGGGGCTACATGGAGGAGGGGCAGGAAGCAGGAGACCCAGAGAAGGATATGCCCCACGGCCGACAAGGTCACGAGCTGGTTGGTGGAGGCGGGTTATGGTGGGAAGTGGTGGGGTGCGCAGTAGGCATGGTGCTCGGCAGGAGGTTCTGCAGGTGGGGGTCCACAGATGGGGGTTCTGTGGCTGCCAGGGCTGGGAGTCTCCCAGGGCTGGCTCCTGGTGTGGAACACTCAGGAGGCATGGCAGGTGTAGAGGGCAGGCATTGGCTCTGTTGGCCACAGCCTAGGCTGTGCCTCCCACCAAGTGTGGACTAGAACAAGGCAGTGAGAAGTGGATGCTCACACAGGCACAGTGGCTGAGACGTGCCCAGGGCCACTTGGCCAGGAAGTAGCAAAACCCAGAAACAGTCTGGTGTGGCCCCAAACAGCTGGCTTTGCTCCACATGCCTGGCCACTGTGTGAACATGCCCTCTCCCATGGGCCAGCATGGCTGTGGATAGAAGAACATTGCAATAGTGCCCCAAGCTTTGTTCTAGCTGTAAAGGACCTGATGGGTGTCAGAGCCCGTGCAGCCCTCGCCTACGTGAGCTGCTGGGGACAGGTGCTGAGGCAGGCTGAGGGAGGCTCCTGGCTCACACCCTGCCAGGACCCCGGCGGCTCCTGACTTTGTCAGTGACATCAGCAGCTTTCCATAAGGCCTCACTTGAAGTGCTGAAGTCACCCCGAAACCTCTGGCTTCTCTACTATTCCAAGTTCTATGAATTTAACTAAGCCCTTTCTCCCACAGATGACACCTTCCTATTAAAACTTAGGAGGAAGATGCCTAACTGGCCTCTCCTGGCCTTTCACCAGACACTGTCTGAGTCTTGGCCTCAGGGTGCTCAAGCACTGACACCCGTGCTGTGCATATACCTTCCACAGGCACCTGCCACCCACCTGTGAGTTATCCAGAACCTGGAGAGCAGATGGCTGAAATCACTCCAGAACCATTGCTGGTGGCAGGTGGAGACCCTATTTTAAGTTTCCTTCTGCCTTTCCAACTTTGTGTCACTTCCTCTTGCCTCTTGCTCAGCCCTTGTCATCCTCAGGGTCCTAAATCTGGTTCCAGTGCACACAGTTCTGGGCAGACCTCACCTGGCCTACCGTGTGCCAGGCACCTCAGGGGACACCTGTGGGATCCACCACCATCCAGAAGTGCAGGGGAGTAAATGCCACCCAAGAGGTGACCCCAGATGACAAGACCAAGGGTAAAGGCTTCTCCCCTTCGTGCTCTGAGGGACACTTCTCCAGGGCGCTGGGAAGGTTCGGGGGGCCAGTTCCAGCTGCCCATAGTGGGGACCCCATCAACAGAGCACACTGGTCCTGGCTCCCTCTCCTTCCCTGCCTCACTCCCCTGCTCCCAGCTTCCTGGGAACAAAAACCCTCACTGCAAAGGCCCCGACTCAGGCTCTGCTTTCTGGGCACCCAAGCCAAGACAAACATTCTATGTGATACTCAAATGCTTGCATCAAATCCACTCCAGATGTTTGCTCAGCTGTTAATTGAATGTAACCTCTAATGGGAACCTCATTAATTCCTACAGCCAGTCCAGTGAATGAGTCCAGACTCTGGCTTCAGGTCAATCATGTGTGCAAGGCTTTCATGAGATACTATTCTTAAAGTGCCTGGCACTTGGGAAATGCTTAGTTAATGGGATTCTCCTTCTCTCTTCACAGTTCCTGATAACCTGGTCCATATTAGAACAATGCAGATTGGCAGAACAATGGCTTCCATCCATTAGTTATTCCTCAGGAAACATTCATTGTGTGCTTTATAGGCAAGGTGCTGAGTGGGGTCTTGATTCTCCCTGTGCGCCGTATAGGGCTGTCCAATCCCTCCTTCACGGGACATGATTTCAGGTCTCTGTGGAACACCGGTGATCCTCCTTCTGACAGCACTTTGCCCCTATGCCCAGTAGGGGTGGGGTCACTCCCAGAGAGAATGGCTGAGCTGGGAGTCAGTGCTCCAAGGGAGAGCTGAGAGCCCCTGGAGGAGAAAGGAAAGATGGCACTACTGGGCTCTCCCCTCAAGGTGCTGTTCGGATTTCACAGTCACCCACGGGCCGACCCCTGCTTGTAGCTGTGGGGACAGCAATGGGGTCTGGGGCACCCTGACCCAGTACCCAGTGGTCATCCAGGTGGAGGGGATAAAAGAATGAGCCAGAGACCCTGCTGTGGCAACAGAATCTCAACAGGTCTGAATTCCAGGAACTTAAGGGAATGCTGAAAATGAATTGACGTGACCATGTCCACACCAAGCCCATGTCCTGTAGGTTACTTTGCTTAGAAAGTATGGTCTGCAACCCCTTGATGAGCCATTGAACCAACACAGCCAGTCCCAAGCCACCTTACAACATGAGAAGAGACCAGACCAGCTCATGCCACACATTGTCAGGCAGCGCCCTTGAAAACATATTTACTATCCAGGGTCTCTGGCCCCACGGGCAGCCAGTCTCCTGCAGGCTGAGCACACTGTCTTCCCCAGCGTCCGGCAGCCCCTGGCCTCGGCAGGCCCACTGTCCTGGCAGGTCCCGCTGGAGCTCTGTTGGGGTTCATCCCACCAGGAAACCGGGAAAGCACGTTTGGAGGTCTTGCAGTGCAGGCTGCTGGGGACGCCCGGCTGTTGTCAGAGCTCGAACTCACCCTTCCCTGTCACACTCGAAGAAGACACATTGTGAGTCTCGGGCCCAGCACCCAGACCTCACTACATCTTTGCCTCCACACCAGCAACTTAAGAGCCTGTCGGGCAGTTTCTAAATTTGAAGGCCTTGGAATTGGCACCAAGTCTTCTGAATACAACTGCTATCCACCTGTTAGTCTGCACAAGTAGGAACTACAAGAAAAATGTCATTTGGTAAGCCAGAAGCTGGAGTTTTCTGTGCCTCCCCTCACATGCCTGTGACTTAGTTCATATGTTCAGTCCACCCCAAGTCCTCCCTCTGTCCCTCTGGTGTGAGCAGGGGTCAGTCCCCGGGGCCTGGTCTCTCTGCTGAGAATCTTCTCACCTGTGAAGAAGGGATTAATCTCAGGCCCTCACGCAGCCTCAACTCTGCATTTCTGAAGTGCCTCTTGGCGCTCTGAATGTTTGCAAAAGGCAGATGATAGCCAAATTCTTATTAGGGGAAAGGCAGTAAAAAGCAAGTTTCTGGCAGCAAGAGATGTACGGGAAGCAAGACGGGGCAGCCAAGCCCAGTTCTGATACCATGTGCTGTGGAGGTGTGAGGCACCGTGTGTGACCCCTTACCTCTTCCTCCTGCCACCTACTGAGGAAGTGCCGGCTCTAAAGCCTACAGGTATCCTGGTAGCTACCAGGAGACTTCTTACCAACTTGTTTAAAATAAACTATTCCTAATATGCCAACCTTTGGAGAACATTAGGTCCTTGGGAACAAATTCCCAGACCGCCTTTATCCCACTGCAAATAAGGCAGCATTTTTACTCATCTGACCTAAGAGTTTCAACCTGTGCAAATACAGATGCAGCTTTAGGAAAAATCACATTTGAAGTGATGCTTAAAAAATCTAAAGCAGAAGTTTGGCTTTGCTTTCACTGTTAGTTTGTAGAATGATCTGCATTTAATCTTAGTTTGGGGCAGTGAAGACTCTGCCCCGGCGGGGATGGCTGTAAAGCTGGTCATTGATTTACATCCTTTGGGACAAACGCCAGGTGGGGACAATGTGGGTGTGCGCCGGCCCTGCTCTACTGGCTCCCGGCGGGACTCAGTGGGCCCCCAGGGGCAGTTCCCACTGGGAGGGGCAGAAGCTCTCAGAGGTCACAGAGCTGACAGGACACAGCCGGGTGAGGGTGTCGCCTCTGCCGCGCCGAGCTGGAGGGGCCACACGGGGGAAGGCGTTCTAAGGCACCCACACTGGGCCCCAGAGTCCGGGGAGCCCTTCTCCTGCCGGGGACGCAGCAATGAGGCGCGGAGGCTAGCAGGCGCAGCCAGGCCCCCGCCCCTGCACCCCTTCCTGGCTGGGGACAGCTCAGGTGTCCTGTCTCCCGCCCCCAGGCTTCCCCTTGTCCTCTGTCGGGCCAATCAGATGACACGTCACCTGCCTGCTTTCTTTTTAAAAAAATGTTATGTGAAAGGTCATCCGGTTTGGATTTTAAGTTGTAACCAACGGTAGAGCGTGGGTCCTTTCTCACAAACCCCACCTTCTCACAACCAAAGTACTTTTCTAACATTTCATTTCACTGAGGCCCTCGGACGGATTAATCCCCTCAGGGGGGAGCAGGAGCGCTGGAGGCCCGAGGAGAGGGCAGAGAGCACACGGGGGACGCGGGAGCCGCCCAGGCCCCAAGGCACAAGACGCCGCCTTCAGTAACCGGGGCACAGCGCCTCGGCCCGGGCCCTCCCCCTCCCCTCCCCCGGGCCGCCCC